CCCGGCGACGTGTGGGGTGAAAGTTTTTGCCTGGTTTTTCACGCGTCCATGAAAATGAGTTTGTGTTAATGAGTGTATTAGGCATAAAAAGTCAGAAATTTAGAAAGCGTGGAGTTATTTACGATCGGGCAGTGCATTCTCGTCCAGCTTTGCAAGAAAAGAGAGTGGCGCGAATCCGAATTGGGCACGCAAATTCTAGCTTGTTTCTTACTTTGCAGTGCATTAAATTGCTTCTGTTTTTTTGTGGGAAAGTACCTTAGAGACACGTGATGCACAATGTTACGGAATTTTCTCCCGCTGCGTCTCATGTAAACAGTTCTCCAGCGGTACGTAATTTGTCTCAATTATTATCGAGCCAACATTGCAATCATTTCACAGCAATTAAATCTTTATCTCGCATGAAATTTTAATTATTGTCCTCTTTTAAATGTAATCATTTTCATCGCGCGTTCTTAAACTCTTTGCGATTAATTACTCATTATAGACATATGGTGACATCGTTACAGTTTTCAGGTTGTACATTTTTTTCTGATATTAATTTGAAATTACTGTCAATCCTATAAAAGAATCTATAGTAACGTTAAATTTAGTGACTTCCTTAAAAGAAACTTTGGGTCCTCACCTACTGTCGTCTTTCGGATTTTCCAAAATTTTGAAAAAATGGTTAAAAACAGTTATTAACATGTTCAATTAATTGTTTCATTAGTTTATTAAATAACAAAGGAATTTTACGAATACACTTATAAATATTGAAAAGAAAAATTCGTTTAAACTCAAATTCGTTTGAATACCTTACAATATTGTCTTAAAGTAATGGAAGAATAAAATATTTTTATATGGTCGTTGGTAGCAAAAGTATCCGGAAGATATTATTTTCCGAGAATTTCAAACGATTATGTCGCCTTGATTAACAATCGTAATCATTAGGAATAAGCGCTTCTTAGAGGTATTAATTTTTTAAAAATAAAGCTTAGTATCGTAGGCAATAAACATTTGGCTGTTTATTTTCTGCTAAAGCAGAATTTAAATATAATGTAAATTTTATTCCGGAGCTGTTTGAATTTCCTGTTTCGGTCATCGCACATTCTCGTTAATAATACGCGAAGTGTTTGAATAAAGATTCTTGAGAATGCCTCCGATTATAAGTCTCCGCCGAAACATTCATTAAATCGACCGTTAAATTCTGGTTTTCCCATTTTAGACGGTTAGAACACATGACTGGTAAATTTTCGGATTAGCAGTTCGGAGAATCTTTTAACGTGGCTAATTCTCGCGTAAAAAGCAAATCTTTCCAGAAGATGATCACCGTTGGAATAGAACAAGACTCAATTAGTCAATACCGCGCGTTTCTTTCATCTATCGGCAGTTTCAGTGCCTCCGTCAATTAATTTTGAAGATGACGTTGCCAATGTACAGTCAGGTCGGGAAATTTTCCTATGCGTTAGAATTTATTTAATGTTTTATATTTTTATTTCCTGTGATTTTAATAGATAAGATGATCTGAAGACAATTTAAATGCATTTTGTAGGAAAAACTCACCAGGAGTAAAAGAAAAAATTCATATATCTTAGAGATATCTGCGAGAAATGCAAGTAATCTAATAGAAATGAGATGAATAGCTTCTGCACACAAATTTGCTTCCGATATTTTTTGAATTAACGGTCCGCTGGTTTTCCTTTCACTTCAACAATTTCTTGGTTATTATTCTGTAACGTGCTGACTAATTTTTTATTAACAGACGGTTGAATTATTCCATCCGAGTAATAATTTCGAACTTACTTATTTTCGGCGGTGTATGTTTTTCAATTTTTTTCTTGGTTCGCTTCGTAGGTGTTCGACGAAGATTATATTTGGAGATTGCGACGCCGTGTAAATATGCTTCAGGCACATCGCACAATAGCGATAAACGCTGTGGTTTTATTTTCATCCATAATTCCACGAGTGAATTGAAAACGACCCACTCTTCCGCGTTCAACACTTTGACGGCTATACTTTTTATTGTTAGATAAATGAATACCATTTACCGTCGTTATTTCGTGAAATCTTTTTGATATTGGTATTCTCACAAATGCATTTATTTAATCAATATTAATAATTACATAAATATTTTAAAAGTATAAATATTTTTTTCATTGCTTTCTTGACACCATTTCATTGATATATTCATATAAGTAAAAATAATCAACGAAGGTTGTATAAATATTTATTAATTTTAGATTAATTCTATCCCCAACGTTTCATTACATTCTACAATGTAA